AATTTAGCCACTGTTTTAGTAATTTTAGCTTTTAGCTACTTATTTGGCTAATTATGTATTTTATTTAGTTTAGGCTTTTTTGTGCTAAATTTAGCCACTGTTTTAGTAATTTTAGCTTTTAGCTACTTATTTGGCTAATTATGTATTTTATTTAGTTTAGGCTTTTTTGTGCTAAATTTAGCCACTGTTTTAGTAATTTTAGCTTTTAGCTACTTATTTGGCTAATTATGTATTTTATTTAGTTTAGGCTTTTTTGTGCTAAATTTAGCCACTGTTTTAGTAATTTTAGCTTTTAGCTACTATTTTGCTAATTATAGCTTTTGGTTTAACTTTTGTTGTGCTGGTTTTAGCATTTGTTTGAACTTTTGTTCTGATCCTGTGAAGTTTCTTTAACAGATTCCAGGAGTCATCCAGTCGATTTTTTTTTCAGGGGACAAAAATTATAGTTGTACAAAATGTGATATTTGTGTTGTGGGATGAAATGTTTGCAAGTTTTCTTTCTGTCAGATCAAATAAAAGACATTTGTTGTTGTGTTGCTGTCAGCTGGTACTTTGTGTTTTCAGACACTAACTTCACTTCTTCAGCTTTCTGCAGCAGCTCTTGAGCAGCTTCCTCTTCCAGCTTCTTTGTGTCRTCCTGCAATCTGGTGGGATTATTGATCAGATTATTGATGTTGTTGATCACTGAGTGAATATCAGCAGGCAACTGGATTCTCAGAACAGTTTTGGCCATTTTCTCGATGTCATCTGGAGGAACCATTTCATCTGTCAGGGAGGAAGCATGATGAAATATGACAAAAATGGTTTGTGCAGACAGAGGGATCACTCTGAACATTTTCAAAGTTTCAAAAAAATAATACACTGCTGGAAACTGTTGGTGTTTTCTGTCACTGAGCTGATCTCTTATTTATTCTCTTCAGAGCAAAATGTTAGTCTGGATTAACTAAGCCTGGGTGTTAACCAGGTCCAAAGCAGACTAACTGCATTAAATATATTGCCATGATAATTTTTGAGTCACTGCTGTTGTGAAACTAAAACAATTATACAATACATATGATGTGGGTGTAAACACTGACCCATCAGGTAGTGCTTGACTCKCTGGAGCAGCTCCCTGGTTTTAGTTTTCTCTGCCTCCAAAGACCCAGAGGTAGTGGTGATTCGGTGCTGCAGGTCTTTGGCCTGATCCTTGGTGTCCTGAGACAGCTGCTGGACTTCACTGATCTGAAACAGAACGACCAGTCAGAACACTTTTTATAAACTGGAGCTCACCTGCCAACCAGCAGGTTTCTGTACTTTGGTTTTCACACATCTACAAAAACTTCACCCATTTATACCGAACTGTACCGACCCCGGTCAAGTTGGTTTCCCCCTAAACCAGTGTCAGTTCTAGTTTGGAACCACTGCCTCCTCATAGCACCAGTTCTGTTCTGACCACCAAGGCTCTGGCCCCAAGAGCTAGAACTCCAGCAGCACCAACCCTGTTCTGATCTGGACCAGAGTGCACCATTTCCATCTGGGGCTGGGGGTGGAGCCAAGGAAGCTGAGATCTAATAAAACATATTTTAGTGTTCAGTTTACTTTATTTAGGACAGAAGAAATAAAAAAGTGAACTTTAACAGAATTAATACCAACAATCAGCAGAAACACAAACACGTTCTGCTGAAACTGAGACATTAAAGAGCTAAAACAATCAGAACAAAAGCTACATTTAGCAAAAACAACAGCAAAATGTCAAAATTAGCAAAAGCTAAAAGTTGAAATTTGTCAAACAAAAGCTAAGTGCTAAAACAAGCAGAACAATAAATAAAGCTAAAATGAGAAAATGGTTATTAAAAGTCAAAACTAGCTAAACAGAAACTACAAGCTAAAATTAGCAGACCAGTTGCTACGTTGCTAACGAGTAAATGTACTGTTTAACCCCCAATGGAGAAATTAGTGCAGATTAAGAGCAGTTTGGGGATTAAGGGCCTTGATTATGGTTGCCCACCCATATTTTGGATGTCTGTCCTGCATCCAGGTAGTGGAACCTGATCACAGGAAAGAACCAATAATGAACCAGAACCAGGATGAGAACGGTTTAATTAGAAACCCCTTCCTGTGTTTGCAGTGTGAACCTGCCTTTTTCTTGGACTGCTGCAGTTTGGACGGGAGTTTGACGAGCTGCTGCTTTATTTCCTCTGCCATCTCTGATGCTTTCTGAGCTCCAGGAACAACTCCAACGCAGAGYGGACCTCCACCACATTTTGAACAGTCTTCCAGATCTGGTCCTCCACAGATCTGCATCAGACCACAGCAAGCTGCTTAAAGCACTCATAAGTTATTTTGACAGTAAAAGAAACTGAAAAAAAAGTCAAAAACTGCCCATTATATCACAAAAATAATTCAACTTGTCTACTTTTTAACTATCAAAATCTAAAGTATGAACTAGTTGAACTTTTTCAAATCTTACTAGTTGACTGAATACAGTCTGGTGTTCTATGGATATTTTTAGTTTATAGCATTTACAGCTCAGTAAGTCAGTTCCTCCCTATCCTCATCAAAAAAAATCCAAAAACGTTATGGTGGACATTATGATGGATGTTGTGGACATCATGGTGGATACTATGGACATTTTAGAGGACATTGTGGTGGACATGTGGTTGACATTAAGTCGGACTTTGTGTTGGATGTTGTGATGACGTTGTAGAGGACATGATAGATGTTGTGGTTGATATTGTGGTGGAAATTGTGATGCACATTGTAGAGGACAGTATGGTAAATATTGTGGTGGACAGTTTAATGGGCATTGTGGTGAACATCGTGGTGGACATTGTAGAGGACATTATGGTAAATGTTGTGGTTGAATTTTGTGGTTGACATTGTGGTGGACATTGTAGAGGACATTATGGTAAATGTTGTGGTTGATATTGTGGTGGACATTGTGGTGAACATTGTGATGGACATTGTAGAGGACATTATGGTAAATGTTGTGGTTGATATTGTGGTGGACATTGTGGTGGACATTGTAGAGGACATTATGATCAATTTTGTGGTTGATATTGTGCTGGATGTTGTGGTGGATGTTGTGGTTGATATTGGGCTGGATGTTGTGGAAGCTTTGTTGGTCAACAATTTAACATCATGGTGGACATTGTGGTACATTTTCTCACCTTTTGGTTGAGTTTGAGCACACTGAACTGTTTGACCTTCTTCTCCAGCTTTGCCAGGTCTCCACTGCATTTGCAAATCTCCAGTTTGTGTTTAGCTTCCTGTCTGGTGTCCATGGAGTCTTCTACAGCTCTGGTGGAGCTTCTTAGCCTCTTCTCRTCAGACATAAAGTCTTTATGAAGCTTCTGGATCTCATTCTGCAGCTCTGCAACGAGGATGTTGGCACAAAATATTTACAAAGTCAAAAAGATTTTTATATTTTGTTTTGTTTTCAATTAAACTCATTGTGTCTCAAAGCTCTGTGTATCTGTAAACAACCTCAGACATCTGTGATTAGTTTTCCAGGTGAACCCAATTAAAATGAAAACTTTTGAAGAAGCTGTTCCACATTATTAATCAGACCCGTCCTTTAAGTAATATGGGGTGAAAGGGATCTTTGCTGCTGAAAAGCATGAAATAGTTGAATTCATTGGACATCTTAGGTATTTCATGAAAACTTAAATGTGTTCATCGTATTGTTCAGAGATTTGTGGCTGATTCAGAGCACTCACAGGTTTGTGAAGATAAAGACAGACAAATACACTGCATTAAGAGAGCAGCTACACCATTACAAATCAGCAAACTCTGGAGTCCCGCAAAGGCTTGCAGTTCTGCATAAACCTTCTATTTGGCCTCTCAACCAATGTTCAGAAGCAGCTGCAGCGGGCCCAGAAATACATGAAGACTAAAACCATATTCAAACATGACAATGCACCATCTCATGCTGCATCATTGGCCGCTACAGGCATGAAAGGAGAGAAACTAACGGCGAGGCACCCATCCATCCCCTGACCTCAAATCTTATTGAGAACCTTTGAAGCCAAAGGTCTCTTAGAGTGGGAGGCAGTTCTCCTCAAAACAGCAACTGTCTGAGTATAATCTGACATTCAGTACAGAAATTCAARCAGAAACTCTCCAGATCGCACCAGTTCAATGGACCCTGTGTAGGGCTGGGCGATATGGCCCAGAAAAACATCTCCAATTTTTTGCATCCCAAATTCGATTTTTGATTTTAATCGATTTTGGTTCCCACTTAACAGAGTGCCTCTGTTTCAGGTGTCGAAACAAATTTGTTGTACTCCTGCCATGTGTAGCAACAGGCTTCAAACAGATTTTGCAGTGAGGTGTTTGTTGTTCCAAGTCTGAGGTTGCAAAACCTAACCACTTCCAAAAAACTGAAGAAACTGTGCCTTTTTTGGGAATTAGATCCTCTTTGCTAGCTGCCATATTTTCATGTCGTGTACCAAGCGTCTTGAGGGACAGGTGGGGTGACCTCTGAACTACAGAAGCCCCAAAGAGTGCACTGGTGGACAAAAAAATTTGATTTTCCCAAAATTAAATCTTTATGAATGGCAAATTCGAATTACTCGATTAAAGGGTCAATTTCATGTAAAATCAACTTTTTTGAGTTTATGTTATAATGATGTTATAATGTTATACTCTCATAAAAAAACATGCCCAAAGCCTTGCTTTTACTCATTCATGAACGTTTAAGAAATCCTGTAGAGTTTTTAGGCAGCCATGCTGAGGAGTTAAACGACAGGTAGGGACTAGGAACGCCTTTTGGTACCAGAAACGGGACGTGTCTTTAAGCCAAACTTCCTCATGGCGGAGCACCCCCCTCCCCACACACCCCGCCCAGGACTCCTGCAGGCTCCCAGGTGAAAGTGAAAGTGAAACTTAAACTGTCTGCTGAGCTCTCAACCCAGCGAGACAGAAGCAGAAGGTGGTTCTTAAAGAGACAGAGGCCAATTTCAAGGCGTTTAGAAGAGGAAGTGATGAGAAGATAAGTTTATTTTCTATTTAAACATAAAAACAGCATTTTAATAACAACTAAAGGTGACATCTATACTTTATTGTGGTATAGTATTTAAATGTAAGCCTGAGAAACACACAATATTGGCCCTTTAAGCTGAAAGTTTGCTATTGTAAAAGTCTCTTCAAAGCTCTCCTTCATACACACACACACACACAAAGGGCGGGACAAAAGCGGAAGGTGGTTCTTAAAGAGACAGAGGCCAATTTCAAGGCGTTTAGAAGAGGAAGTCATGAGAAGATAAGTTTCTTTTCTATTTAAACATAAAAATAGCATTTTAATAACAACTAAAGGTGACATCTATACTTTATTGTGGTATAGTATTTAAATGTAAGCCTGAGAAACACACAATATTGGCCCTTTAAGCTGAAAGTTTGCTATTGTAAAAGTCTCTTCAAAGCTCTCCTTCATACACACACACACACACCCACACACTCACAAACACACACAGGTCTTGTCATTATAAGGTTTGTATATAAAACATGAT